AAAAAAAAAAAAAATATTCCGACGAACTGATAACCTCCTCCTTTTTTTCAAGTCGGTTAAAAAATAATGTGATTCCGCGGGGTGCCAGTCAGTGGCGGATCCAAGGGGGTGTTTTAATATGGTGCATATGTATGTATAATATGGCGTCTATGTATTTAAACACCCCCGTGGGTCCGCCACTGACTGGCACGGAGTTTAACTTCCAAAAACCCCGCTGGATCCGCCGCTGCCAACTACGTGTACATCTAATTTTACTTACGTCCATTTCTGTGACTTGTAGGAGCGGCTGAAAGGCAGTTTTACTATTTTTTAATCTTGGAATAATTTCGCTATATGTTTCCTGAATTTCGACAAATAGGATGCCATTGAATGCAGCTGATTTATAGCGTTTAAAGCAGCACAAAGCTTCTTCAATGCTGCCATAAGAAATATTGCTAAGGTGGAGTTCCGCGCAATAATCTGTTGGTTATACGCTATCTTTACGTTGGAACATTCAGGAAAGAGCATCTGCATTAGGTGTTCAAAGCTGCTGCCTGTTCTTTCGCCATTCCCTAGGTAGCTAGACACACATGGATTCTATAATTAGAAATACAAGTAAATACGACCAACTTAATGTTTTATGTTGTCCTACTTATTCGATTTTTGCCCGCTGTTAATTGATTAAATGCATTCCCAAATTGCACATTTTATTACGAAAATGATTATAGTTTATTTTTAACTTCCTGGAACCAGTTATGATTTATTTATTTGTTTGGGTTATAATTCAAACTTATCAGCACAAATATTTAAGTGAGTTACTCGCGAAAGCATAAGATACATATGTACGTACATAGGTATGTATTTCAGCAATCAACATAAGTAAATAATATCGATAAGATCAGTGCATGAAAATGGTCGTCTTCAATGTGCGAAAAATTCTCTGTTGTAAAGTGTAAAATGAATTGCGGCGTTCATTCACCGCATTCTGCTTAAAATTGTATGCAGTCGAGTGCTTGGAATCTAACAAAAATAAACAGCTATGCACAGCACTCACACACACGCACAATCCCACACACACACACACACACACATTTCCAACTGCCAGTGGCAGCAGTTTCAACTGTGGGCATTCGCAAGTAAACAAACTATGGACCTATCCCAAAAGTCAAAGCATTGGCCCTTGCCTTGCGTGTTTTGCTGAGCAACAAATGGCCAAGTGGAAATAGAAGAATAATAAATAAATAGCTCGAAGCTACATATGTAGCATAATAATGGAGCAGAGAAATTGCGTTTGTAAATATGTATGTACATTGGGGAGAAGGAGCCGCGATTTCTCAAGAATTGCAAAACGATGGTGGAAAAAATTCTGTGGCAAGAAAAAGCAGAGCGGAAGAGGTAAACTAAACATTTTCAAAAATGTTGTTGCGGAAGATGTTTATATTTAGTAAATAGCATACACACGAATCTACATTTGCATCTTTTGTATGTATGTAACACAATTTATGGGTACGCCAGCGGAAAATGTCTAATGAAGGCGGTGTAGTTGGCGCAAAGCTATGTATTTTGTAATACAGACGCACAGATCAACACACCGGCACACATACATACATACATACATACAATTGTTGTTGGAGCTGATGAAGTAATACGACAACATACATAAATAAAATAGTCAACCAGCCGCCGCCAGACCACTAAAACTGAGCAACAAATAGACTGATGTACCTATATACTTATGTAGGTACTAACTGTGGCTTTTCTATTTATCTTTATGCGGCTACAGCTAAGTATGTATGCTTGTACATATGTATGTAAGTGTGATTGGTGTGACTAGTGGAGGAGCTGCTGCAAATTGGTGAAGTGAGCAATTTTCAGTTGGCGAATTGCAGTCGCGTGTGGCAGTGAAGTGGCAGCGAAGAGCAGAAATAGCCAACAAATGTTGTCGCGTTTGTCAAACGAATTTGTGAAAAAATGTAAAAATTGTTGAATATCTGCACAATTGCATGCCATAATAAAAAACAAAATTATAGAAACTGGCTTGCAAACGATTGATAAGCAATCATTATACACTCTAACTCTAAAATATTGTGCAACGCTTGTGGTGAAAAAAAAATCTATTATATAATCGAGTGCAATGCCACCTACATATGTACATTTGAAAATTCTTCCATTGATAACACCAATGTGAAGGCTTATAAATAAAAAAAAAA